AGGCGGGTGTTGAACAATGAGAGCACATAGACGCAGGGAGGGGAGCACTACACTCTGGGGTCAGTTGGGGGGAAATAGGGGAGGGACGGTGGGGGGCGGGAAGCTGGGGAGAGATAGCAAGGGGAGAAATGCCAGATGTAGGTGATGGGGAGGAAGGCAGCAAATCACACTGACACGTGTGTTCCTATGCAACAATTTTGCATGTTCTTCACATGTACCCCAAAACCTAAAATGCAATAAAATAAATGGGAAAAAAAAAAAGAAATGGCTAAACTGTTTTCCAGAGAGACTGTACTCATTTACATTACCGTTGGCAATATATGGGTAATCCGGTTTCTCTGTATCCTTTCCAGCATTTGATGTTGTCACTATTTTTAGTTTTAGCCATTTGGAGAGATTTGTAGTTGTGTCTCATTGTGATTTTGAGTTTACCTGCTGGCTGCTGGTGTTGAACCTCATTCCGTGTGCTCACTGTCTTGTGTGTGTGTGTGTATATGTATGTGTGTGTATATGTGTGTGTGTGTGTGTGTATGTATACATATTAGATGGAGTCTCGTTCAGTCACCCAGCTGGCTGGAGTGCAGTTGCACGATCTCAGCTCACTGCAACCTCTGCCTCCTGGGTTCAAGTGATTCTCTTGCCTCAGCCTCCTGAGTAGCTGGGATTACAGGCATGCGCCACCATGCGTGGCTAATTTTTGTATTTTTAGTAGAGATGTGGTTTCATCATGTTGGCTAGGCTGGTCTCGAACTCCTGACGTCAAGTGATCCACCCACCTTGGCCTCCCAAAGTGCTGGGATTACGGATGTGAGCCACTGTGCCCAGCCTTCTTATATATTCTTGAGTGAAAGATGTCTTCGTCTCTTTTGCCTAGGTTCTCATTGGATCCTGTGCTTTTTTACTGATGAGTTTTGAGAAGTCTTTATGTGTTCTGGATACTAATTATTGGTTCGATATGGTTTGCACATTTTGTCTCCCAGTGTGTAGCTTGTCTTTTCATTCCCTTAACAGGGTCTTTCACAGAGTACAAGGTTTTTATTTTTATGACATCCAATTTATAAAGTTTTCCTTGTATGGATCATGCTTTTGTGTCAAGTTCAACAACTTTTGTTTAGCTCTACATATGGAAGATTTTCTCCTAAGCTTTTAAAAAATGAAATGTAATATGTTGTCCAACCCTCATCGCTATCCAGTTCCAGAACATTTTCATGGGAACCCAGTACCCAGTAAGCAATTACTTCCCATTGTCTTACCCTCAGCCCCTGGCAACCACTGATCTGCTTTCTGTCTCTACCGATTTGCCTATTCTGGACATTTCACATAAATAGAATAAAAAATATGTGGCTTTTGTATCTGGCTTCTTCAGTTAAGCATAATCTTTTCAACGTTCATCCATGTGAAAGCAAAATCAGTACTCTATAATCTTTATGGTTAATATTCTAATAAATGGATCTGTTATATTTTGTTTATCCACTTATCAGTTGATGGACATTAGTTTCTAGTTTTTGACTATTGTTAAAAATGCTGCTGTGAACATTCATTTACAAGTTATTCTGTGGACATCTGTTTTCAGTTCTGTTGGGTACTGCCTAGGAGTGGACTTGCTGGGTCATATGGTGACCCTGTGTTTAGTCGCATTTGTGGAACTGCCAGATGGTTTTCCGAAGGAGCTGCACCATTTGCTTTTCCAGGCCACAATGTATGAGGGTTCTAATTTCTTTGCATCCTTGTTCTCTGTTTTCCAAAACATTTCATAGATTTACTTTGTACATTTAAGTCTATAATCAATTTTGAATTAATTTTTTATAAGGTATGAGACTGAAATAGAATTTCTTTTTTAAAAACATCTATGGATATCTAATTGCTCCATCACTATTTGTTGAAAAGACTCTTTCTTCCATTGAATTATTTTTGTGCCTTTGTCAAAATTCAGTTGGATATATTTGTGTGGGTCCATTTCTTGGTTCTCCATCTGTTCCATTGATCTGTGTGTCTACCCTACTGCCCATGTCATGGTCTCTATCGCTGTGGCTAACTAGTAAGTCTTGCAATTGATTAAACAAATCCCTCCTACTTTATTCTTCTTTCCCAAAGTGATTTTAGCTATTCTAGATCTTTTTCCTTTCCATATGCATTTAGAATAATCTTGTGTGCATCTATACAAAATCTTGTTGAGATTTTGATAGGAACTGCATTAAACCCAAATATAACTTTGGGGAGAATTGATATCCTTTGGCTAGAGAGAGCAGAACTTTCATTGGGGCCTTCTTTTGTCTGTGCCTATTTATGTTTCCAGGGTGCTGACTTATTTAGCTCTAAGTATGGAATAAGAATGCAGTCAAGAAGGAAACCCAGAGGGAAATCTCTATGATGTTATTTCTTAGGTCTTGAGGTTCCTAGCTGGTCTACCTTCTCATCTCTATCTTTCAAACCCTTCTTATATTTGTTTTATATATTATGTCTAGAGTTTTTAGTTGTACTTAGCGAGAAATAGGAAGTACATCTACTTCATCTTCCCCAAAGTGGAACTTGCACCTTCCTTTTTAACTTAACAATAGATGTTGGAGATTATTTCATATTAGTACATAAATTGTACACTTAATCTTTCATTTAAATCATTGTATTATATTTCATTTTTTTGCATGTGCCATAGTTTTTGAATCAGTCTCCTCCCGATGAGCATTTAGGTTGTTTTCAATCTTTTGCTGTTATAAACAGTGCTTCAGTGGATAACTTCGTATCTCTGTATCGGTTAGCATGTGTGTCAGTATAGCTAAAAGAGAACTTCCTAAGAGTAGAACTGCTAGGTCAAAGGATATGTGCATTTTACGTTTTGATAGATAATAGTACGTGGCTTTCCTAGAGATTGCCTGTCAATCGGGATCACTGTGAATGCTGCCTGTGTAGGCAGAACTCCTGGTCCTCTGAGACAGTTAGAGCTGGAGTCTTGAAGAAGGATAATTTGAAGCATCAGATCTCAGTATGCAACTTTTGGTGTGATCTGTATGGCACCTTTTAGCATTTCTTGAACCATTTTTCATATACTATTATGGAAAATATTTATTCTGATCAGGAACCCAAACTTTTAGAAATTTTTGAATAGCTGCTATGTAGCTATTGGTCTTATTAATACCCCATTTTACTCAAGTAAACTGTATTTTCTTCGCAAGATTTCTACGGATGTTAAATTCTCATTTGAGTCTGAATTATGCTCTTGTGGCTGCTGATGTTAAGCAGTACATTAATTGGACAATTTCTCTTAATTTACTGGGTCATTCAAATTCATAGACACTTCATTTGATTTGAACAATAACTTGTTCTCGAGTTTATTGTTATGATTTCCAGCTCAAGATTCTCCAAGGGATTTTTCTTTTTCTTGTTAAATCAACAAGTGGTGGATAAGCTGTGAATTTTCTTAAAATGCAGTCTTGCTGTATATATGTAATGGATACATTTGGTACATATTTACCTTTGTACATATTTATGCATATGTATCCATATTTCTCTTTTCCTGAGTTGGTAAACACTTCTAATTCACTTCAGTTTGAAAGCTTTGCTTCATGACCCAAGTACTTTTGGGCCATGAACACAGTTGTGACAAAGTAACAAGAAATATTTGGTATGTAATTGCTGGGGGACAAGTTAGAGGTGGTTTGTGTTCTTTATCTGCATAGAATTCTAATTCTGATGGAATGTCCTCTTCTTCAGAGCTGATATTTAACCCCCTCTCAGACAGGCTTTGGCAAAAGGTAGCCACAGTTTCCAACTCCGGTGCCCTCCTGCTCACATTCCTAATCTTTGGAGCTCCTTCCCAGTGTCACCTGCAGACCTGTCACCACTGGCCATCCGGTTGGACCTCCAGTCAGCCCTCCAGTGCTGCCAGGCTCCCCTCATAGCCTAACAGAGGGAAGACCACCTGCTGCATTTGTTATAATGGTTACTAACTATATAATGGATCTATATCATGGTATACATGTAAACATCTTTTAAAAATGTTATATGCAGTTAATTACAGTTAATAGTGGGAATTGTTTGTCTTTAGTAAATTTATATGCTATAATTTGGGAACTCATCTCAGTGACTAAGATTTTCCTTCCAAAGTAGCTTTCATGGGTGCTATTTAAAGATATCTGAATGACAGCATCATAAAAGTACAGTAGTCCCCTCTTTCACCAAGGGTTCCTTCCAAGACCCTCACTGGATACCGGAGACTGTGGCTAGTACTGAACCCTATATATATACTGTGTTTTTCCTCTATATTCATGCCTCTGATAAAGTTTAATTTGTATGGTAGGTACAATAAGATATTAAAAACCATACTTAATCAGAGGAGATACAATTATACTATGGCAACATCACTGCTCTTGTACTTCAGGAATGTTATTAAGTAAAATAAGGGTGACTTGAACTCAAGCACTGTGATACTGCAATGGTTAATCTGATGACTGGGGTGGCTACTAAGTAACTAACAAGGCAGGGAGTAGACACAGTGCGGCGATGACGACGGATGGGGGATGGGTCACGTCCAGGGGTTATGGAGTGGAATGGTACAAGATTTCATTATAATACTCAGAACAGCATGCAACTTAAAAGTTATGAATTTTTTATTTAATATTTTTGGACAGCGGTTGACTGTGGGTAACTGAGACTGTGGAAGGTAAAAGTGTGGATAAGTGAGGACCATGGTATTAATACATAGCTTTTCTCTTATACCACTTGATGGAATTCATGGTTAATTGGTATGATTTTTAAATTAAAATAATAGTTTCATATTTTATTGGATCATATTCTGAGATGTTTAAGATATAGTTTAATAATACATTCCCCTCCTTTAACCATGGAAAAAAGTTACCAAGTATTTACATATAATTCATTTAGTGTGATTTCCTCTTTTTTTAAGAAAAGTATTTTCCTTGCGTTTAAAATGTAAAAATTTTCCTATTTCTTTCTTCCTGTCCTCAAATCCACTGTGGGTGATAACCGTTTTTGCTGACACACAGCTTTATCAGGTATGACTCCTAAGTGTCGTGTTGGACTTCACGGATGTGTTGTTGAATTTTTCAAAGGAAGAACTTTCCACACTGACCTTCTACATTCCCTTGATCAGTATTTAGGAGTATTTTATGATCATCGCTGGGCTTTAAGGTCTAGAGTGCTCTTTGTATTCAAAACAAGTTTGCCACATGTGTTACACCTGGATTTCAGAAATTAATTGTGTTTTCTTCAAACATATGACTGTTGTATGTCGCTGGCTTTCTGTGTTTTTAATCTGTGTATAATTCTCTGTTTTCTTCTTTTATATATATGTATTTGTATACACATCTGTGTTATTCCTAACATACGTGTTTTTAAAAGCAGATACATGTTCTTAACCAGAACTTTTCTAACCAGATACATATTCCTAACCAGGCTGTTTTCAAACTGTGTTCATGAAATATATTAATCTAAGATGCTAAGCAGAGTGGCATAAAAATGTTTACCAACAAGTTTATTATGTTTCCCCTTGAGCAATTCACAATGCACATTAGCATATTAAAGGTTCTGGTTCCATGCAGTAAAGAAATTGTTTATCTTTGTTTATCTCAGCATCTTCAAGAAATATTTGAGTTTGAAACACTTCAGAATACACAGGGGTGTTGTAGGCCGCTGATTTGTGAAATGCTGTAAAAAATTGAGTAAGGTTTTCTTTGTAGTGTTTTAAGACATCAAATAAAATTGACTACAAGTGATTAAATTTTCAAGAGGTTAAAGCATTTAGCTGAATTGTATTTTGAGAGAGTATTTTCTTATAGAAATTACATTTTGAAATACAGCATTGATTTTTTTCCCCCATAGTATTATCTTTTTCAATATTTTTCATGGCCTTTAAAAAGAGTTTGTGAGACTAAAAATTCTGCCATTTTGTGGAAGGAGGGTTTTTAAAATGTTGTTACTGTCATTGCTTTCTTCTATAAGAATTTGCCTTTATCTTTAAAAAACATGTTTACTATTTCAGAGAATGTGACACAGGAAAGGAGGCCTCCCAAACTTGCCTTTATGTCAAGAGGTGTTGGGGACAAAGGTTCATCCAGTCACAATAAACCAAAGGCTACAGGTATGGATTAATAGCATACAACCTTTAGTAATTTACATAATGCTGAATTTGCCATCGCATTAAAACAGGTTATAAGCTCTTACTTCTTAACGTGTGTAGACTTTTTTCCTTCAAACATTTTTAGTAGTGAAACTAAAGCTTTTATAGAAATATTGTTGCTTAAGTCAAGTGTCCCCAGCCCTTTTCACCTCATGAAGAGTTCCCCATAAAGGACCTGTGTGTTTTGCTGGTCTATAATCAACTGGTTTTTGGAACTCCTTATTTGGAATATTTATATATATAGTTTAGGATTGCAGCTGTGTAAAATAATCCTATATGGATAATGTTATATAGGATAAAGTATACTAGAGATTAATTAAATGGTTTTACTAACTGGATGTGACACAAATTAAATCCCAAACTGCTAAGCAAAAATTTCTTCTGTTTCCCAGAAGCTTCCTCAATACGTGCGGAGCTCCATAGCTCTTTTTTGTTAGCTTCCTCATACTTCATAGATTTATAGAATAGTAGTTATACAAGCCAAACAGCTCATTAAAAAGCTCTAAGAAATTTTGTTAACTCAGATGTGGATTAGGAGAAGAATATCTTTTCTTCAATTATTACAATTTTGGTTCATTTAAAAGGAAATTATACTTTAAGAATTATTTTAGGCCGGGCGCGGTGGCTCACGCCTGTAATCCCAGCACTTTGGGAGGCCAAGGCGCGTGGATCACGAGGTCAAGAGATCGAGACCATCCTGGTCAACACGGTGAAATCCCGTCTCTACTAAAACTACAAAAAATCAGCTGGGCATGGTGGCACGTGCCTGTAATCCCAGCTACTCAGGAGGCTGAGGCAGGAGAATTGCCTGAACCCAGGAGGCGGAGGTTGCGGTGAGCCGAGATCGCGCCATTGCACTCCAGCCTGGGTAACAAGAGTGAAACTCCGTCTCAAAAAAAAAATAATAATAATAATAAATAAATAAATAAAGAAAGAATTATTTTATGTGACAGTGGGGCCTGAGAGACTTAGAATTAGTTGCAGGATATATACATGATAGTCTTTTTTTTATGGTAACCTATAGATCTATATGGGATAGCTCAAACTTGCTACTTTCACTTAAAGAGAAATAGACTAAAGATTTTTTGTGGGTTCTGGAGAGCCCACTGGCCCCACCATGACATGTCTTCTAGTTAACACTGAGGCAGGGTAATGTCTTGAAATGGCTGTGACATAGCTACACCCACCCTCTCACATAAAATAAATCCAATCTATAAGAAATAAAAATGCTTGATTTTTTCAAAGACACGAGGAATTTGACTACCAACAATTCCAAATGTTTAAAACTTAACTGTTTTAAACATAATTTGTGTATTGATTTATATACAGCATTTGAAGATTACTTTCTTTTCAAATGAACTGTTTTAAAATAATAGGTTAAATTTGTGAACCACTGGGTCTGTAGAATGAAGCTGGGGAATGGTGATTTGACATTTAGAAATAAGCTGCAGTACATGGAACAATTTCTTAAAGCAATTCATTTTAAGAAAATGAGTAGGCTTTTCTTTTAACTTACTCCGATTACCCTCCTATATTGACTTTTGGGCCCAAGGATGTTTTCAATATGGCCAAAATGGTTACCGAATTTTTAAAAGCCGAAGGCAATTACAAAACATATTGTTTTTATATACATTTATTGGTTATGTAAACAGTTGTTAAGATCGTACTCATTCATTTCTCTTACTAAAAAAAAACTTTGACACTATGTTGACTTTATTTTTAAATGAAACTTTTCTTGTTCTATAGGATCTACCTCAGACCCTGGAAATAGAAACAGATCTGAATTATTTTATACCTTAAATGGGTCTTCTGTTGACTCACAACCACAATCCAAATCAAAAAATACGTGGTACATTGATGAAGGTAATCTGTAATTTTAGAGTTCTTTATAATGAACCTCTCTTTTTAACTCATCATAGAAAAATGGCTTTTTAAAAACAGCAATATCTATAGTTTTTGGAAGCAGAATGAATAAACCACAATATTTAGTTTGTAATATTGCTCAACTAAAATATCGTACACAATTTGAATTGTACTACTGTTAAGATTATTAAAATGTTTAAGAAATGTATTAGTAGTTTGTTCTTTTCCTTTAACTGATCTGTTTAGGGTGGGAAATTTCTGTCTGGTTCTTTCTTGACCTCTTTAAAGCATTCCCTTTTAAAAAAAATTTATCTTCCCTTGTTTCTGGGACATCATTTTCTCCTAGTTTATTCTCTTCTTTGTTCATTTGTTCAACAAATATTTATTGAGTGCTTACGATGTGCCAGGCATTCTTTTAGGCATCGAGATGAAAATGGTGAGAAAAAATAGACACAGTTTGTGCCCCTTGTGAGTTTGCAGTTGTTAAGTTTTTGAGATAGAAATTAAACAACCACAGATACAGAAGTAGAGTTGCCTTGGTGATGTGCGCAGTAAAGGTACATGATGCCAGGAGAATACATCAAAGGTGATTTTTCTTAGGGTCTTGGGGATGCTTCTTTGGGACAGTGACACACGCTTAGGTTTACCAGAAGAGTGACAGATGACAAAGTGAAAGGGGCCAGAAGAACCTCCTCGGGAGGAGAAATAGCATATGGAAAGTACTCATGGAAGAATGAGTTGTATCCTGAGTTCATATTTAGCTTTTGTTTTTTTCTGAAGTAAACAATTAAGTCTATAAAATTCCCTTGTAAGTATTAATTTAGCCATGTTACATAAGGATTCTTTCTTTCTTTGTTTCTTTTTCTCTCTTTTTTATTTATTGTTAAAACTTACTATCTCTTTTTTGATCCATTAGTTATTTAGAAACGTTTCTTAAGGTTTTTGGTATCTTTTTATACTGCTTTCTCAATTAATTGTGTTTTGGACAAAGAGTATCACCTATACGATACCCACTGATAATAGATTTTTTTGTTTTGTTTTGTTGGGTGCCATTGACTGAGGTGCATAGATCGGGAGGTGGAGAGAGAAGCGAGAACACTGTTGGAGATATTAACTTTGTGATGCCTATGAGAATACTATGAATAGTCGGGAGGCCGGGGGGCAGTTGGACTAGATCTGTATATTTATTTTTAGAAATGTAAGACAGAGTCAATATTCTTGAATGCGTTTCTCTAATTAGGAATAATTTTTTAGTTGCAGAAGACCCTGCAAAATCTCTTACAGAGGTATCTACAGACTTTGACCGTTCTTCACCACCACTCCAGCCTCCTCCTGTGAACGCACTGTCCACCGAGAACAGATTCCACTCTCTACCATTCAGTCTGACAAAGATGCCCAACAGCAATGGAAGTATTGGCCACAGTCCACTTTCTCTGTCAGCGCAGTCTGTGATGGAAGAGCTAAACACTGCACCTGTCCAGGAGAGTCCACCCTTGGCCATGCCTCCTGGGAACTCACATGGTCTAGAAGTGGGCTCATTGGCTGAAGTTAAAGAGAACCCTCCTTTCTATGGGGTAATCCGTTGGATCGGTCAGCCACCAGGACTGAATGAAGTACTTGCTGGACTGGAACTGGTAATTTAACTTGATCCAAAAATTGCGATTTTTTTTTCTGTATGAGGTTTTGTGCAGATTTCCCCCTATTATATGTTTTTTGGGAAACTGTTATGTTTGTCAGAAAAGTTATCACTACAGAAGAATTTTTTCACCATGTTGCCTGACTTCCCTTTGCCACCCACTTGCGACCCACTTGTCCTAATGTTAGTTGATTTACATTCAAAAAATGAAAGCTGATTTTTAGGCCAATCTATTTAGGCTTCTTATATTAAACAGAATTCATTAAATCAAGCAAATTTTCCATCAGCCTTTCTCTTTCTTCTTCAGCCCCTTCTCCTGGTCATTTCTAATAATTATATCATTGGCTTTAAAATTAATCACCATTTTTAGAGATCTTTTGAGACCTTTGCTAGAGGGAAAGGGTTTCCCTTTAGAGATCAGGAGAACATATTGTTTGATATTTTGTAATCAGGAGAGGAGAACTTGAGTACATTTAGCATTTATTTATTTATTTAGAGATAGGGTCTCACTCTGTCGCGCAGACTGGAGTGCAGTAGCACAATCAGGGCTCACTGCAGCCTCGACCTCCCAGGCTCAGGCGATTCTCCCACCTCAGCCACCTGAGTAGCTGGGATTACAAACATTTACCACCATGCTCAGCTAATTTGTGTTTTTAGTAGAGACAGGGTTTCACCATGATGCCCAGGCAGGTCTCAAACTCCTGGACTCAAGTAATCCACCACCTTGGCCTCCCAAAGTGCTGGGATTACAGTGATGAACCACCGCATGTGGCCAATTTAAATATATTTCTTTTTTCTTTCTTGTTTGTTTCCATGCTAGTGAATACTATCTTGTGGGGCGTGGGGGTGAGGTGAGAATGCAGGTTGTTAGAATAAATAGCCTTCTCCTTCCCTGCCTGTTTTAATGCTTATAGAAATGGTGCAGAAAAGGCCATTAACCAGGGGAGGCCGAAGTGTATATTCTGAAAGGAAATATAGAAAGGAATTCATGCGGGATTAAGGGATTCACTTTTTAAATCATTAGCTGTTGGCCGAAGCACTGATTACTGAACTCCTTTATCTCGATGAGGTTCCCAGTACAGGTGCGAAGAGGGAATGGTGAGAAAGAGTATACTAGAAACAGGTCTTAGTAACCTTAGTTCTTTGTATACTGTCTCTGCAAGGTGTGGTATAATGCATATCGGAGCATTTCTTTTTCAGGAAGATGAATGTGCAGGCTGTACCGATGGAACCTTCAGAGGCACTCGGTATTTCACCTGTGCTCTGAAGAAGGCGCTGTTTGTTAAACTGAAGAGCTGCAGGCCTGACTCTCGGTTTGCATCACTGCAGCCAGTTTCCAATCAGATCGAGCGCTGTAACTCTTTAGGTATTTGGATGCTTTTCGTTTACTTAACAACCTGGAATGACTGTAATTCTAATCTCATATCATGTCATATTAGGTGATGGCGACAGTGTTTTAATATTTTTCTTGCCAATGCTCATTAAGCTTTAAATCAGTAAAAATTGTTGCATGGTATATAAGAAAGTTGTTTTAAGGGGACATCTTAAAAAAGTATTAGGAAGAGTATTTGAGACTTACAAAGTGAATAATAGTGTGATTTGTTTTTCTCTTCCTGTTGATTACACTTAGTTTTCAGCAATACCAGTGGTAGAAATTGAAATGTGACCTTTTTTTTTTTTTTTTACTGACTTCCCTCACAGTGTCTTGTTTAAGTACAGCAGTGAGTGCATCTTACAAAGAAATCAGCATTAGTGTAAGAAGTAAATTTCAACTGAGTGCTCTCCTTATCACGTGTAATTGGGGCAGGTTCCTGGTGCTGTTTCTTTCCATTGTTGGATAATAGTGGAAAAGCATCTTGGGGCTTCAGCAGGTGCAAACAGGAAAGTCATCTTCATGAAAAACACTTTTTATTATGTTGAAATAGTCCTTTGGAATTTTCATTTTCTTTTCAAACTTGAAGCATCTTCAGATAAACACTGAAATATTTGGGAAACATATTTTATTTGACAGGTGCTTTTTACACATAATACTCTAAAATGTGTTTTTAAATTGTGGAGGAAGTGAAGTTGAAAATGAACAATAGCAATTTTTATAAGCCAAGTTAAATAGCAGTTACCCAAAGCCTACTTTTTACTTAAAGTTAAGAAACAAATTTTGCATCAAAATACAAAAACATTTTAAAATGAAAAAAATATTTATGAGAATACATACTGTAATAGTTTAAAAGAATTCTTTTCATTTGCTTTTTTTAAAAATCTTTTCAGCATTTGGAGGCTACTTAAGTGAAGTAGTAGAAGAAAATACTCCCCCAAAAATGGAAAAAGAAGGCTTGGAGATAATGATTGGGAAGAAGAAAGGCATCCAGGGTCATTATAATTCTTGTTACTTAGACTCAACTTTATTCTGGTAAGTTTAAAATGCCATAAGGGCAGGGACACATATGGGTATGTGTTTGTGTGCGTGTATTTGTGAAAGAAACTGCCAACTCCTTCTAAGTAGGGAAACTGGATGACCATGGGTCAGGATAGAAAGGGAGATTTTTTTTCATGACATACCCTTTGCAAACTTTTGAATGTTGTCTCATGTTTCTGTATCCAAAAAGTTAATATAAAAAGTAACTGAATAATGAATAAGAGGTGAATGATATTGTTACAAATGGAATAGATATACTGAGAGTATCTGGGAAATGTTTCTGCACATATCAAATAACATAACTTGCAGTGAAGCCACTGGCTGCTGTGTGCTGTATTTATTTGAGTAGGTAAAGGCAGTCATAAAACTACCATCTTTAAACAAACCTATTTTCAGTAGCAGCACTGCTGCCCTCCAAAGTGGAACAACTTAACATTGCAAGAATTTTTTTTTCCTGACACCCAGGCTGGAGTGCAGTGGCATGATCTGTGCTCACTGCAACCCCCACCTCCCAGGTTCAAGTAATTCTCTTGACTCAGCCTCTTGAGTAACTGGGATTACAGGCATGTGCTATGACTCCTGGCTAATTTTTTTTTTTTTTTTTTTTGTATTTTCAATAGAGACAGGATTTCGCCATGTTGGCCATGCTGGTCTTGAACTTGTGACCTCAAATGATCCACCTGCCTCAGCCTCTCAATGTGCTTGGGATTATAGGCGTGAGCCACCATGCCCGGCCTTAACATTGCAAAGATATTTAAGCTCTGGAGAGTGAACCAAGGATCGTTAGGCTCTGAGGACTGTAGGCTGAGTTAAATTGAGAGTAGCCTGCAAGTTCTGTAGCTATATGATAAGAATTAGGAAGTTAACTTGGGATGCTAACATTTTTAAAGTAGGGAGAAGAATAAACTGGTGGCCATTTTATTTGCAGAATGCTTTGGCAAAAACAAGCCTTATAGTATTGATATAATATTCTTTAGATTTACTGATAAAAATCTGTATTAGCCAAATTTTCTGTTTATTTGATACCAGCAAATTACTGCTGTTAGTCACTCATTTTATTTATTTATTTTTTTGAGATGAAGCCTTTTTCTGTTGCCCAGGCTGGAGTGCAGTGGCGTGATCTCGGCTCACTGCAACTTTGCCTCCCGGGTTCAAGTGATTTTCCTGTCTCAGCCTCCTAAGTAGCTGGGACTTCAGGCACATGCCACCACGCCCAGCTGATTTTTTGTATTTTTAGTAGAGACAGGATTTCACCCTATTGGTCAGGCTGGTCGCTAACTCCTGACCTCAGGTGATCCACCCACCTAGGCCTCCCAAAGTGCTGGGTTTATAGGCGTGAGCCACTGCACCCGGCCTGTTATTCACTTATAAGTGATTTTAGCATTTAGAGAAATTCATTAATGTAATAGATCTTTGCAAAGGAGCATGGGGAGAGAGAAGTGGGGCACTGAGTGGTGCTAGCCTCGGGAAGTTGTCTCCAAATGCTCTCCTCTGTTGTCTGTAATTTGACTGGGATTTTTAGTTCCTCTTTCAACTTGTGCAAAGAAGTTTTCCTTCTTAATATTCTGTGGGCATGTTATTATCCTTTAACTGTGTTGATCTGCAGTTTGCTTTCTCAGTATTTGTTAGTATTGTCCTCCTGGAATGATCTCTAGGTCCTGATGATTGAACCGTGGGTATCTTCACAGGGGCCCTAGTACCTGTGTTAATGAAAAACACAAATTGATATGTTATTTGTTCTCTAGACTTCACTTATTTTCCTCTTCCAATTCTTTTAAAAATCTATTTCTTGAAAAATATGTTTACAGCATGAAGAAAAATATTCTTTTTCTTTTGCAGCTTATTTTCTTTTAGTTCTGTTCTGGACACTGTGTTACTTAGACCCAAAGAAAAGAATGATGTGGAATATTATAGTGAAACCCAAGAGCTGCTGAGGACAGAAATTGTTAATCCTCTGAGAATGTAAGAAGACAATATATTGCTATTTTGCCTTTAAATGGTGTCCTATTTGCTGTTTTCTGGCATAGTAATTAATTTATACCTTGTCTTCATATAATAAGAGATGGGTGAAAATTAAGTTTCATGGTAAAATATTACATTTTTAAATCTTTGGTCCTTGTATGTTTTTGCTTATTTAATTTCTTAAATCTGGCCAAGGTGCAGAGCATAGCATATTCCATGAAATGATTTAAACCATTTTGCTGGAGTAAACTACAGTTTAGCAATTGCAGTAGGTTTAGGAAAGCTGATACATAATACTTAGGATTCTTACCTTTTAAAATAGTTTATTCCGACACTTCCACTACCAGTAATCATGCTTACTGGTCAAACTGGCATAGTCTATCTTCTTAAATCTGAAAGAAAAGGAGCAAGTGAAGTTCTGTACAGAATAGCTAGTATTTAATCCTTTTGTACTAGCAACAGATGAGATGTATTTTAGTACCATATGCCTTGGTTAAAGGAATATATCTGGCCTCTTTCCACCTGTCTTAAAAAGGTGACTCTTTACATTTCCTACTTTAGGAATTATAAATATGTCTTTGTATGGCCACAGGAAGCAATTTGTAATGGTACAGGCACGAGTGACAAGGAGATACCTAGTAAAGACTTTGAATGAGTGGTAGTGATATGTGATAATGTCATATGATAAAATTTGAACTGTGAAGAATTAGGATCGTAGATCATAAAACAAATTTGTTCGTTCAGGAATATAGAGAGAAAGTGATATAATTTAAAGTCCACATAAGATAAATTTGAATTCTTTTATACACTTTTCTTAATTTATTAATTAAAGTAAAAAATAGTTTGGTATCAAATTTGAACCAAAAAAGCAGAATACTGAAATATAATGAGCATTCCAAATTATCTGCTATATCACATGACTAGGAAAGTAAATTATAAGAGGATAAATTTCCTCACTTACATCTTTTGCTTTCCTTAAATTCTGTAATGAATTCTCTAATGATCTTACCCTTTAAGAAAATTGTGAATCTTGATTTTCATATCAATTATTTTGTCTTATGCAAATTTTTAAACATACTATTTTTTTCCCGTAAGTAATTGATACTGGAACAAGACAGGTCAAGTCCAAATCTCTAAGGCACGTTACTACCTCTTTCCTTCCTTCCCAAACACCCTAAGTTCATTAATAAACATTCTTTGAATCCTATTGTTCAACCAGTTAAGAATCATAGTTAATCACATTTTCTTACCCTGTCCACAGTAAGAAACTGGTCAGATGCCTTGTTGTGATCAGGATTCCCTGCGTCTGCAGCATTCATATCTGTATTATAGCGTTCATATCTGTATTATGGTTTTATTTGGTGCTGAAATCTCTGCTTTTCTTCACTGAAAGCTTCTCAAAGGCAGAGACCCGATGTTTTTCACCTTACTCATTTTGTATTCCCAATGGCTGACAGGTTACATTACTGTGTAAGCGGTAGATGCTGAATCTATATTGATTGCAGGAAACTAACAAGTAAATGAATAGTCAGCATAAAAAATCGATATAAAATTAGCTAGTTCTGACTTGTCCTTAGTAAACTTATGGTAGCCACTAAGGTCTCCTCTGAAGCTATTTTTAGAATTACAAATTCAAAGTGATATTAAACTTACTGAATATGTCTTGCATTCAGACAAAGATGAGAGAAAATGTCATAATTATGCCAATTGGTTTGATTGCAGATTTTAGATTTTCAGTTTCTTAAAAAATCCCATTTCCCTTAGTGGCTATTTCACACTTTAGTATTAAAAGGATATTCTCTCTCAAAATTGTATATTCTGCTTTATGAAGTAAATACTTTAATTTCCCAAGCAAATATTATTTAAAAACTCAGTCACCACAAACTTAAAAAATGTTTTTTCTCATATTAGTCTATGACAATTACTTGTAAGGCATATGATAGTGTCTAGGATAATTCTGGTTCTAGGTCTTTAATTTTTCAAACTTCAAGAAAAAGCTTGGCTAGGTGCGGTGGTTAACACCTGTAATCCCACCACTTTGGGAGGCTGAGGTGGACAGATGACTTGAGGCCAGGAATTCAAGACCAGCGTGGCCAACATGGTGAAACCCTGTCTCTACTAAAAATAGAAAAATTAGCTGGACATGGTGGTGCACGCCTATAATCCCAGCCATTTTGGTGGCTGAGGCATGAGAATCTCTTGAGCCTGGGAGGTGGAGGTTGCCGTGAGCCAAGATCAGGCCACTGCACCACTCCAGCCTGAGTGACAGAGTGAGACTCTGTCTTTAAAAAAGAAAAAGAAAAAGAAAATGTGTGGTTAAGATGTGTTATATAATTTAATACATGCCAATATCAATTAATAGTTTTTTACCAACATAGATATGGATATGTATGTGCCACAAAGATTATGAAACTGAGGAAAATACTTGAAAAGGTGGAGGCTGCATCAGGATTTACCTCTGAAGAAAAAGGTGACCATCTTAACTTATATGCATTAAAAGTAACTGAAGAGCATATTCACATACCAAAGTATTAGCTGAAACGTGTGTCTGTGTAGCTGGGGGCTTTATTTTAAATTAGGAGTGTTTTTCTGTGTGATATGGTTATCTCCCCATTTTGTAAATTCTTCCTCTCTTCTAAAAGTGATTGATGATGTGTAATAATGAACCCCTTTAAGAAGTGGGCTGGTTCTAGTATATTAAATGCTTAAATAAAAAGTCCTTTCCTTTCCACACAGCAATGATATTCTCAGTGGTTTATCTCTCGTGGTGCAGAGTTGCATTGGGTTTTCTACGTTTTCCCACTTAGTTTTTCTTGTTACAAAAGGGAGTTAGAAGCTGCTGACTAGGATTAAGTTTATGGTTAGGGAACAGTGTTCTAATCTCTTCCTAGCTAATGGGCTTACTCAGAGATTCGCTACCTGACTTTGAACTGGATAGCATACCGTAACCAGCTATAATGCTTAGAGGCTTGCAGGGAAAAATGGGGTATACTTCAGGTTGTACTCCACTTAGCTTAAAACCCCCAAAAGAAATAACAACTATTTCATTATATGTGATCTATTACACCCTTTCAAATGCAATAAAGTCATGACAAAATTGAAACATAATACTTGATCATAACTTTTAAAAATCTTTTATGTTTTTCCTTTGTCAGGAAAACTTGAAAACTGTACTTTTAATTGAAATAATATTAGATGAATGAAATTGAATTCAGTATTAAAATATGACTATTAGAAATAAAAAATAAAATGATTTAAAAATGTTGCCTGTGACTTATTTGATTTTAAAATTTTCTCCTAGATCCTGAGGAATTCTTGAATATCCTGTTTCATCATATTTTAAGGGTAGAACCATTGCTAAAAATAAGGTAACCTTTAAATTGTTCTAGAAGCACTGTAAAATAGACAGTTCTCATTTCTACTGCCATTATTTAGCAGATATGAATTCCAGAATGATTTCTTAATATCGTATTTGTTTAGGGCTCTTAATAGGCTAGTGGAATATCATGCAAGTTAATTTGTTTATTGTCTTCGCAGAGTACCATGCTTTACTTGAAGAACAAATCCAATGTAAATTTGTACTATAATTTTTAACCCTAGTGATAACTATTATTGAAAATCATTTTCCTATGAAACTGTGTGTATATATATATATATTTCTTCATAGTTTCAATTAATGAACCTTTTAAGAAAAAAATCTCATTCTAACTTAAGCACTTCAAGAACGCTTTTTTTTGTGTGTACTCATCACTCAAAAAATTTAGTCTTAAATTAGCTTTCCTGTTCTTTGATGTATAACTTCGTCTGCCCTCCCCACTCACCATGTTGAATGAAAGCCTTGTTTAATGTAGTAAAGTTCTTAACAAAATGTTCTAAATGACTGAACTTTCCAGATAGTTTGAATGTTCTCAGTCTAAACAATGGACCTTTTTATATTTTAGCCTGGGTTTCTCTCTTGAGAATCTTAGTAATAGCCTGTATACTTTCCTAAATGCTAAACATAGATAAGTACTCTTCCTCATCTCTGTGTCTTAAAGGGATGTTGTTTGATGCCATTGTTGAATTGATGGATGGGGAGAAGAGAGGGCTGGTGGAAGGTGCCATGACTGTGGTTTGATATTGTTTGGGAAGTTCTGATGAATGAAATGAGACATAATACATAATCATCAAGAGCTCGTATTATCTGCCCAAAGATGATAATAGCCATATGCACACCTAAAAATCTTAGAGAATTGTCTAAAAATTACTATAATTAGCAAAAGAATTCATAATATTTCTATGTAAAATAACCAGGGAAAAATCAATGGCATTTCCATATACCTTCAAGCAAATATGAAAAAATAATTTCATACTTCATGAAAGTATAAAACACCAAGAAATCAATTTTATTGAGATAAGATTTTTTAAAAGACTTATACAGAACTAAAGGGGATTTGATTAATTAGTGAGAAAGATTGTGTTCTGGGTAGGACAATTAAATAATTTAAAGATTATTACATAATAATTTGCACACAAGCAAGATCTTAACATACTTTAGGAAAGTGGTTTTAGAGTTCTCTACAAAATGGAAGTGGACAAAAATCTTGAAGAATGCTTTTAAAATAGATTTCTATTATAAGCTATGAAGGCAAAGCAATAGACTTTAAAATAGTGTATGATACTAGCATAAGATTAGAAATATGGATCAATGGGACCAAATAGAAAGCTCAGAAATAGAATTAACTGTATGTAGCATTTCAGTGTCTCATAAGTCAACTTTTCGAATACAAATGAGAAAGGAAAGATATCTTTAATACATGATACAGGAAACCTAGCAGGCACTTTGGAAGAAGAAAGTCAATTTGGTTTTTCATTTTAAAGGGACAAATTTCAGATGCTTTAAACAGTTTTTTTCATCCTTTATCCTCCCCTTTCTAGCCCACACACCTAAGGAATGTAATACATGCCCAGCAATAACATAGGTTGAATACTACAGTGACCCTCAGAGTGGGTAAGGAGGGATCAGGGCGTCTCTGAATATAACTCAGAGTCTGAATGCATTGTGGGACTTGAAAGGGCCTTGGGAAGTTCTTACACCCCCCTGAAGGGTACACTGTCCCCTTCATCCCTGCAAAAAATCTCTTCATATTGACAATCACCTTTTTAAAGTTTATAAATATTCTAAGCTGGCTCTTTTTCAAGAGTAATTCTTCCCCTCCACTAGCATTTCTTATTGACAGAGAAAGAGAGAGTCAGCAACAAATAGTCATGCAACAAATAGGAAGAGCACGTGAAAAATTAAACAGTCTAAAAGAGACTACAAGATGTCCTTAAATGATTGAAGAGACAAAAGAACTAGATGCCAATGGAAGGTAAAACAGGGTTGATAAACAGAATCAAATAAAGACAGAATCTCCAGAAGTAGAAACTATATCATGATGTTACCTCATTGGTGCAGGGTGCACAGCTGAAGAGAGAATTGCTCATTTGGAAGACAGAGCTGAAGAAAGTACCCAGAATGTTGTCCAAAGGGATAAAGAGTTAGAAAACAAGAAAAAGAGGATAAGAGACATGGAAGATGGATTCTAACTAGAGTTCCACAAGGAGATACTGGAGAGAATAGGGAAAAGGCAATATTTCAACAGATAACAGCTGAAGAATTTTCAGAATTTTTGATAGACTGAAATTCTAGTAATAAAAATATTCAGAATTTCTGAGCAGAGAGAACCAGGACTAAATTACCATTTAAGACTTATTACAGGATATACTTTAGTAAAACAAAACTGAGTTTAGAATAAAGGAGTGGGATGCAAGAAACAGGGAAAAGCCAAGAAATTAGTAAATTGTCTTCTCTATCCTAATTTCTGCCTCCCTTCTCTCAGTGTTTGCCACGTAGTGCTCCCTTCAACCACCAGCCCTCCCCTGCTGCCATGATTATGATTACAGTTACTGACCTCTGCTACTTCCTGGTTTCTTAGTCTCCTCTCTCTCTCTCTCTCTTTTTTCCTGGAAACTGTTAATTTCCTATGCTTTTTGGCTTTCACAGAAAAATTCTGGTTTTTTGTCATAGTCATCAACAACTGATTAAAACACTGGTATAGCATAGCCTTCAGGTTTTTTGCTTATTCTCTGTGTTTGTTGTGGGTCTCAAGAATCTCCTGTTTTGTTATCAATTAAGTTATCTTTATTTGGGGACGTAAGTTGCTTTGGAAAGCTGAAGATTTCTGCAGGCTGGTTTCTGAATAATGAGGCTTCTTTTTTATAATGAAAATGATGTTAATATTTTCCCCTAAAAATCTTAAAATCTAGAAATAGGTTTAGATGTAAACAGTCTGACTCTATATCTAGAAATTCTGCTGAAGAGGTAAATAGTAAACTTAAGGATTATTAGTCCTTCTGGTAGAGTTAGTCCTAAAGACTAATGACATGCTATAGTAAAATATTTAGAAGGAAAATGTTCAAAATAGAAGGGTAACACTATGATTAGCGTATGGTAGATGCTTAGTTGGTATGTGTTGAATAAACAAGTGACTATTAGACAGCATGCTTTAGCAGAAAGAATGGTAAGCAGTGGTTAGGGTCCCTGGGTTCTGTACCCAGTTCTGCTTTTGACTTGCTGAGAAGTCATTCTCCTTCCCTAGATCTTAGCACCTTCATTTTAGAAATGAAAAGTTTGGTCTAGAAGGTCTGCTAACGGTCTGTCATATCTGGGCATATAAGAATTTATTTTCAAGCATTAAATGCAGTTTGCAGCTTTCCAGATTCGGGCAGTTAAGTTGCCCTAGTGATTTAGCTTTTGGTTAGTTCTGTTCACATAGTGGTTCTTGATTGGGGTTATTGGGGTTAGAAAATTCCATTATTTTTTTCCTAATCACTAAGAGAACTTTCCAATCTAAAAACTAAACAAAATAAATCATTTATAAGGTCTTGTGCTTAAGCAAATTTAATTATTTTATCCAAATCATTTATTTCCCTCTGTTGTTCTGACTGTCCAAAGCTACACGATCAATTTTATGGTTTTTCTGTTCTCAGATACTGCTGGGACAGCTTCACATTTTGATTTAAGCATTTAATAAATAGATTATATGTGGTTTTTTTTTCTCTGCATGTTTTTAGATCAGCAGGTCAAAAGGTACAAGATTGTTACTTCTATCAAATTTTTATGGAAAAAAATGAGAAAGTTGGAGTTCCCACAATTCAGCAGTTGTTAGAATGGTCTTTTATCAACAGTAACCTGAAATTTGCAGAGGTTAGTGATCCTCACTTATGGTATTTTTTTTTATGAAAGTCTGTGAGAGTCTTAAGACTATTGATAGATTCAATATCTCTTGATTTTAACTAGCTGAGAACAGTTTGAGACACAAACTGTTAAGAAACATGAATTTTAAAAAGTATGCAGTGTTTCAACTTTGCCTTTACGGAAAACGTCTTAGAATTAAGATTGAATTTTTTGGATTTTTGGTGCCAAAGAAAACACTAAGCTTATTTGCAGAACTTGAAAACTTTTCAGTAGTTTTTTTTATTTTATTTTTTGAGACGGAGTTTTGCTCTTGTTGCCCAGGCTGGAGTGCAATGGCACAATCTCGGCTCACAGCAACCTCCGGCTCCTGGGTTCAAGCGATTCTTCTGCCTCAGCCTCCTAAGTAGCTGGAATTACAGTCATATACCACCACTCCTGGCCACTTTTAGGCAGTTTAAAGCAAAAGGAAGATGTATGTTTTTTAAAATGCCATTTTACCCAAGCATATTATCCAAATATATCAAAATATAATGTTTACTTTTCCCTCTTCATCAAGAGACAAAATGTCAATACATTCATTTATATTTATTAATGACCAAGTGATAGAACTTATTCTTTTATTGTCTGAGAATCTTCATAATTTTAATAATATATGCTTGTGGTTTATTTTGATTGTTTTCATTTCTGAAGGCATGTTTTGGTAAAACCTTAACAGCCACAGTTATTTATTTGTTGAAATATAATGAGTAGTGTACTTCTGTGATGACATTTTCTGTATTATATTTGCAAAAACAATCTTTCCAAAATATTTAATAAGTATAAACCCAAATAAAATACCATGATTTTCTTTGAGACCCAAGACAATTGAACTCTGTGACCTCCAGGTGCTGGTATGTCCCTGCGATCATGAGCCACTTGAAGACTTGTGGCTTGTTGGTGTCCTGTATTCACAGCCCGTGGTCACATGTGGATCCTGTTTTATAGGACACCAATATTAAGGCAGAACTTACTGTTTTGTTTGACAGCCATTACTATTTTGGTTTCATAAGGAAAAGTTTTTTTTTAACACTTTGATTCTAAAAATATCTGTCTTTTTTATAGGCACCATCATGTCTGATTATTCAGATGCCTCGATTTGGAAAAGACTTTAAACTATTTAAAAAAATTTTTCCTTCTCTGGAATTAAATATAACAGATTTACTTGAAGACAGTAAGTATGAGGTTTTTAAAATTTGTTTTGTTGGTTTTATGGAAATTGTCAGATAATTCCCATCAATTGTAGGTTAGAATCTAACTGGACACAGTAGTTCTCAAGGCAATCCAGTATCTGAAGAGCCTGGAAATACGAAAACAGTCATTTTATTTCTCAGAATTTATTCTTAGAAAATAGAAATGAAAATACATATTTGATGTGCAGATATATTTATTATCATATGGTTAAGAAATTAGAAACAACTTGAATGTTAACCAGAGGAGAGTAGTTAAATGAGTGGTGTATCTGTACAATTACTGCCATTAAAATTCATGGTTTTAAAGACCAATGTGTATGAAAATGGTCATGGCGTAATATTAAGTGGAAAGGTAAGTACGTTAATACGTTCTACAAAAGGGGCCATATATATATATACACACACACATATACTTATGTAAATATTCAGATGTGAAATTATTAGAGAAAATTCACGATCAGATTAACAGTGGCTATCTCCTGCCAACTGAAATTGTAGATGTTTTTAGTTTCCTTCTTTATACTTTCTTGTATCTTTGACTTTTCATCAATGGGCATTTTATAAGAAGGGAAAAACACCCTAGGAGACACATTTAGGAAAATTATTTGGTCCAAGAAAACGTTTTTAAAGATATTTCAAATACCAACTGAGAGCTTAAGCGGATGGAAGAGGAAGAGACTTTTTTGAAGCCATGAGCATTGTCCTTTTTAAAGCCTAATTTTTCTTAGCCTTCTAAACTCCCCTCCCACTCCCCACATTTCAGCGCCCAGGCAGTGCCGGATATGTGGAGGGCTTGCAATGTACGAGTGTAGAGAATGCTATGATGATCCGGACATCTCAGCTGGAAAAATCAAGCAGTTTTGTAAAACCTGCAACACTCAAGTGAGTTTCCCTTCACTTAATGGATGAACTTTTGTTGAACAATAACTTATCTTTAGTTGAAAACAGATGGCTGGTTTTGGAAGGTGTTTTAAAATCATAATTAACTGTTAATTCACAATAAAATGGTATTGCTTTTGCCTCTTTTGTTTACCTGAGCACTGTTGGTGAAGTACTTGGTTGCTACAAATCGGGATGTATTTAATAAGAGTAAGGAAGTCAACTCACTCGACACATTGAGTTTTACTCATTAATGATGATGACTTTTTTTTAAGACGGAGTCTTGCTCTGACACCCAGGCTGGACTGCAGTGGCGCAAGATCTTGGCTTACTGCAACTTTTGCCTTCCGGGTTCAAGTGATTCTCCTGCCTCAGCTCTCCGAGTAGCTGGGATTATAGGTGACTGCCACCATACCCGGCTAATTTTTGTATTTTTCATAGAGATGGGGTTTTACCATCTCAGCCAGGCTGGTCTTGAACTCCTGACCTCATAATCCACTCTCCTCAGCCTAATGACATTCTTTTCATGGTCCATTTTAGGTCCACCTTCATCCCAAGAGGCTGAATCATAAATATAACCCAGTGTCACTTCCCAAAGACTTACCTGACTGGGACTGGAGACACGGCTGCATCCCTTGCCAGAATATGGAGTTATTTGCTGTTCTCTGCATAGAAACGAGCCACTATGTTGCTTTTGTGAAGTATGGGAAGGATGACTCTGCCTGGCTCTTCTTTGACAGCATGGCCGATCGGGATGGTACTGAGAACGCCTTTCTTCTGCATGTGGCACAGGGTTCTGGTTTGCAGTGGGACAGTTCATAGAGAGAGAACCTGTTCTGAGTGATATGATATTTTTTGAGAAAATCCTTTCAGGATTATTCTGGTGACACAGTCTTATATCTTGAATTGCATTAACAACGTGGCTAGCTGAACTAAGGAATAATATGTTGTGTGTGTGTGTGTGTTTTTTTTTTTTTTCTTTTTTGAGATGGAGTCTTGCTCTGTCACCCAGGCTAGAGTACAGTGGCATGGTCTTGGCTCACTGCAACCTCCGCCTCCCAGGTTCAAGCAATTCTCCCACCTCAGCCTCCCGAGTAGCTGGGACTACAGGAACATGCCACCATGCTCGGCTAATTTTTGTAATTTTAGTAGAGATGGAGTTTTGCCATGTTGACCAGGCTGGCCTCAAACTCCCGATCTCAAGTGATTCACCCTCCTTGGCCTCCCACAGTGCTGCGATTACAAGAGGAGCCACTGCGCCCAGCCTCATATTATTGTGATTTTTTGACATGCGTATGCTGTTTTTAAAAAAAAGAATCATAAAATCCTTATTTCAGGCCTGAGGGAACTTACTTCCAGCTTCGTTGTCTTCTTTCAGGCCCCTCTCATTTTTGTAGGTATCTTGGTACCTGTTTATTGAGCACCATTAAGTCATTCTACCTAAATCCTGGCAAGATGAGAATTATTCCTGGTTTTCTCTTATTAAAGCTGAGGTTAAGGTGCCTGAGGTCATATGGTTTGTGTTTAACTCAGTCTTTCTGATCTCAGTGCTTATGTTTTTTGTACTAAACCACATTGTCTTCCAATTGCCAAAAGCCGAGAGCAGAAGTAAACATCCCCTTTAGACAAGTAAAGCCTATTCCGTGTGTCGTACGTTTCTCCCTGAAGTGGGGAATAGGCTGCACTGGCCAGGCCATTTTCTAGGATGCTTAATCATGATGTAACGAATGCTTAATGAATGCCAAGAGCAATCGTGGGCTTCCGGTAAGAAATGGTTGTTAAAGCAGCCCTACCTCGACCCATAAGGAGTCTGCAGTTTAAGACCAGGTCTAGGCAGGGTTGTGAGGTGTGACTGTTATGTTCCGCCATTCTTGCACCCTGTCTCTCCTTTAGCTACTCTCTCAGGTCCACCCCCCCGTGGTCTTCTGGTGTGGCCCTCCAGTAGCCTCAGACATTCCCTGTGACAGCCTCTTGAACAGAGGCCTAGGCCCTAGACCAGGAGCTCTCTACCTTTTCAGTTCTCTGATGCTTGAGGGATACATCCCAGCCCCATCTATAGATGTGTCCCCAACCCAGTTAGTGTTTGCATTGAACAGCGTAACGCAACAGCATAGGCTTGGAAAAGCTTCTGAGCTAACCCAGAGGAGCCTTTCCTGGAATCTCTGAATCCACACCCCAGATCACCTTCATCGGGGGCTGACGACGAGGCTAACCAGCTGTTAGAGTTGTGCAGGGATAGTGTTTAAAATGTAGGCAGTTATGCTAGCGTTCATTTTACTAGATCTGTTCCGAGTGGACAGTCTCATGGCAAAGTGTGCTGGTGGCCTGTGTCTGGGAGGAAGTGAAAGGTGAAGAACAGTGGTGTCTACCTATGTATTGATAATATGGTTCCCTGAGTGACCACAGAGAGAAGCCTGGAAGGTAGGTGTGGGGCTTATCTCAGAATGTGTCTCCTTTTACCAGTTTTATTCACTGCTGGCTCCAGAGTGCTTTCAGAAACCAAGAAATGAGAGTATATCAAGAGTTAAAGGAAGCTTTCACTTCCAGAAATCAGAAGTAAAATAGAGGCTTTTAGAGCCTGAAATTAGCTTTTTGAAATGATAGGATTGTAAAATCATTGGCAAAAGAGTTTAGAACTTGACTGCTCTAAAAAGAGTTCTTTGTGCCGTAGGTGGTCAGAATGGCTTCAACATTCCTCAAGTCACCCCATGCCCAGAAGTAGGAGAGTACTTGAAGATGTCTCTGGAAGACCTGCATTCTTTGGACTCCAGAAGAATCCAAGGCTGTGCACGAAGACTGCTTTGTGATGCGTATATGTGCATGTACCAGAGTCCAACAATGAGTTTGTACAAATAACTGGGGTCATCAGGAGAGGTGAGAAACTGAAGGCAGTCTTACGTTGGACCTTATTTGAGCTGGCGGTCTGTTCCACGTCCATTGCCGGCAATGGATGTCTCTGTGGTGATGATCCTTCAGAAAAGGATGCCTGTGTTTAAAAACAAATTGCTTTTGTGTTCCTGAAGTATTTAATAAGAAGCATTTTGCACTCTAGAAAGTATGTTTGTGTTGGTTTTTTAAGAAGTCTAAACGAAGTTATTAATACCTGAAGCTTTAAGTTAAGTGCATTGATCATATGATATTTTTGGAAGCATACAATTTTAATTGTGAAAGTTTAAAGCCTCTTTTAGTCCATTGAGAATGTAAATAAATGTGTCTTCTTTATGGACCAAGGATATGAAATCATTTTTCCTTTGTAGCTAACGGTTGCCTTGAGGAAGAAATAATTTGGTTTTATTAAGAATCGACTCTCAATCCAGTTATTAAAGGTGGACTGAGTTTGATCTGTTAATCCTTTCTCTATACTGCTGATCCTTGCATGTCTACAATCTGCTCAGTTTTTCTGTGTTTCTGCAATAGTGGTCAGAAAAATACTTAAATTCCCTTAATGGTGTTGTTTCCTATTTGTCCTGGTTTTGAGATGAATGAGTGATTCTGTCCCAAAATGTCCATTTTTGAAGTGGTTTTCCTGGAGGATTAGGGTATTCAGCAGTTGAAGCTCTTCATTCATAGTAGTTACTATCAGCTAACAGGTTTTTTTAAGGCTTTTAACTATTAATATTTTATGGAATGGGGCATACTAAATTGATAAAAGAATTAGAGTGATAAGTAAATAAGATAGTCCTATACAAACAAACATACAGTCCATAAGAAAATGAATTTGGCATATAGAATTACTCTTTAAAATTTCCCTGAAGAGATGGATATTTAAACTTCTGTTATTTTAGACAAGACTGTCCAGAACTTAGGTTCGATCTGTCAGCCAGTAATCCCATTACATTCGGTGTGACGTCACTTGAGATAATGAATCAGATATGTCATCGAAATGTTAGCAGCAGCTTCATCCTCCTTCTGATTAAGTAGCAATGGGATGTTTTGTTTAATAATAGCCATAGTGTGTGTAGACCACAGTAGATGTTGTAGACTAGGACCATAGATTATACATGTCCGTGCTGTGGGATGTGCATTCTCTGAGTGTTGTTTTGTAGTATCATTGTCTTTCTGGAACAACTTTCTAACTGTGCAGAAAGGCAGAAAGGTTGTCATATGTGTATGACATATGACTTTTTAAAATATTTAATGTGAAAAAAAGTGGAAAGTATCTTTACAAACCCTGCAATTACTTTTTTAAAGGCACTTTTATTTGGTTTTATCTTTCCATTTTGCAAATATTTACTAGCTTTATAAACTACAATAAGCTACAAAAACTCATCTTGTAAATTTTTCATTTTTGAAATGAAAAAGTACATATATTTTGCACAAGGTTTTGTACTGCTAAGTGCTTAGTTGGGGTGGTGAGATGATGATTAGATCAGGGGTGAGGCTGAGGGACTCTGGGTTTAGGGCTAGTCCTGCCTCCATCTCCCTTGGGTAAAAGGAAGGGTGTGGGGTACAAGACGTGTAAGGCCTTTTCTAGCTCTGACCACCCAGAAATCCAGTCACCCTGTAATAAATATGTGTTGAATGAAGAAATGGATGAATGAGCTTGTCAATGTGATATTTAAAAACTTGTCTACCTGGAGGAATGATTAGGAATCTAAATGGGGCCAGCCCTTGGCATCTGCAGGTTTCTGATCCATGGATTCAACCAACTGCAAATGGAAAATAGTACTTAAAAAAAAGGATGGTTGCATCTGTATTGAACATGTGCAGACTTTTTTCTTGTCATTATTCTCTGAACAATATAAGAACTCTTTACCTAGCATTTACATTTATTAGATTTTATAAGTAATGTAGAGATGATTTAATTAAAATATACAGGAGGATGTGTGTCAATTATATGCAAATTCTGTTCCATTTCATATCAGGGACTTGAGCATCTTCAGATGTTGGTATCTGCACGGATCTTTGAACCAAAACCCTTCAGATATTGAGGGCTGGCTTGGTAAGACTGGATTTAACAGTTAAAATTAAAAAAAAGGAGAAACAAGACAGTTCCTTTTCTGTAGAAATTAAAATGCAAGTTGAGGAATCTCTGCTACCCAGGCTGTCATGGTAGAGGACTTGAAGAAGACCTGTTTGGATGTACACCTGGTTTTAAAACTCAGGTGTGGGGACTGTCTTAAATGGGAGGGCCTCATCCATAAATGATTTCTGATGACGTCTTCTTCAGGTGGAACTTGATGTCCTTTTAATGTTACTTGGGGAGGGAGTGCTCATCAAGGGATGCCAAGGCCAGCTCTGGTGGTTCCTGGGGAGGCTGGGTCCTTCCCTGCTTCTGAGTGTCATGAGGCAGCAGGAAGGTTTCTCCCTCACCTGTCTGTCCTGGCTCCCTCTGGGTAGCCCCTGCTGTTCTGCACTTCAGCATAGCCTGATTTGTCAAGAGAGGCATAGTTGGGGCTGGGCTGCATGGCGTGAGGGCCAATGTGCCTGCCGGCTATTTAATTTTTGGCCTTAGGTTTTCTTTAATATTTTCCTGTTGGCTTCTTAAAGGTTTTGGTTATCTTTTTTTTAATCTACAATCAAGATGACAATATAATCAGATCATCTCATTTATAACATGGTTCATGATTGATAACTATAAGTAGAAAATGTGTCATGTTCTCCACCTCCCAATAAATGTGTGTGTGTGTGTGTGTGTGTGTGTGTGTGTGTATGAGAGAGAGAGAGAGAGAGAGAGAGAGAGAGAGAGAGAGAGAGAGAGAGAGAGAGAATGGGGAAGGAGAGCAATGTTATCATATATAGAGAGGCTAAATGTGTCCCATCCCTCACTATCAGCTTTATAAAGGAGTTTGACTCCATCCACTAAAGAATGTTTTGTAAGACTAGGAAAACACATTGAAAACTAGGAAAAACAGCAAGAAAAATCAACTTAATATGTTGTTACCATTGCTAAGGATTTTTTCCTTAGAATAATTTAGGATTTTTAAAAATTTATATTTGTAAAATGGCTGTAAATAAATGGCTAGGTTCTTCCTATCCTTAGGATTCATTTTTTTTTTTCTCACAGATTTTGAGAACAAGGGGAAGACAATTTATGGAAGATTAAGATTCCATAAATCTTATAGAACTCTATTGTTGCCCAAATTCCTGCTTGTTTGAATATGGCATCTTCATAGACTCAGGATTCATTACCCTCTATAGCTGGATCTGAAAATTACCCAGCCAGATAATTTCGCATCTGCTTTGATGATTGTAGACCGGGATGTGAATGGAGGATAAAGTATTAGGCCTTTGCTGAGTAACTACCAACCAAGAAGCCTTTATCGGACACTTACTAGGTGCCTAGGATTGTATCAGAGGGAACATGAGATAGGTCCCTGCCCTACCTAGTTTTAAGGCTGCTTAGCTGAAGGATATGGGTGACAGGTCTAGGGGAAGCTCTGGGAGGTGGTGTGGTGTGACAGAAAAAGGAGCAGACTATGGCCGAGAGACCCGCGTTCTAGCCCTGTTCCTGTCACTTGCTTTGTATGCTTAGAAAACAGCTTGGCCTCTTGGGCTTTAGTTTCCTCCTCTGCATAATGAGAGGGTTAGACTATTGAATTTTGTAGGAAAGAAATATAAATTCCTGGGTCCTAGGCCATGCCTACTGAATCCAGTTGTTCATGAAGGGGCCTAGGAGATCTGTGAGGGGAGGTTTCCCAGGGGAATCTCATGACCAGCCAGGTATGAAATCTGCTAACTGGAAGATCGCAAAGTTTCCTTCACTTTCTGTGATTTTGTGATCATGTAATGTTACTGTATTATTTACGTCAATGTGGGTACTTGGATGTTTATCACACTGTTTCTCTGTGTTTACATGTTAATTTATGTAAGAAATGCATTTTAGTCTATGTTCCCCAACCTGCTGTTTCCTACAGGTGTTAGTAGTTGTTGAATACAAGTAAGACTTAAGAGGACATTTGATGTTATTTACCTGGACATTGTCTTTCCTTTTATTTATTTAGAGGAAATTGAGATTCTAGGAGCCAAAAAATAAAAAAAAAATAAAAAATAATAAAAAATAAAACAAAAACAACAAAAAAAAATTCTTAGGCAAAGTTAAAGAAAAGAAGTTACATTATTTCTTACTATTTGCTACTTTATAATGAAAACTTTTAAATTATACGGGAAGATTTTTTCTATGGGATAACAAATCCTTGTCATAAAGAAAGAGGTCTTTTAAAAGTAATTAAGGCCTGTAATTTAAAATAATGCCCCTTTCTCTAGAGTTTGGTGATGTGACTAACACATCCACAATTCTCCACTAATGAAGATCATATTTGAATTTCACAAAGCAGGTGATGAGTTGGGGAAGAGAAAGAGATGTTAAAATGAAAACTCATGTGCAAAAAGGAGGTGGAGGAAGAAGTAATATAAACTCCTTAAAGCAGATGTGCATGGGGCCATATGAAGGCCAGGATTCTGTGGGTGTCAGGGGATTGCCCCTCTTGACAGAAACTGGGGTTTTCAACTGAGGCTTCCTTCAGGGAGTTCACCTTGCACTTCTCTGAACCCCTTTCAGACCTCTTTTTGGGTGGAAGAGATGGGAGGAGGGGAGAAAGACTGTTCATCTCATTCTAAATCCTGGAGCAGCTGAAGGCTTTCTCTTGGGTCACGATGCAGTGCTAAAACGTTAACCAGCAAGTACGGCCAAGGATGGTGAAAACGTGGGAAAGAAAGATCTTCCTCCTCCCTGATCATAGCATCCATCAGTGTCTGGAGCCAGGTTACTGAAGATCCCCGTTTGATTTCCTGGCCCTTTGCCTTGGCAGTGATGACATTTTTATTTCACTGTATTTTAAAGTCTTCATTTATTTTTATAACATGGGTTAAGGAGAAGGGCCACTAATGGAGGGAACTGTCCTTTCAAGAACCATAGCTTCCGATATAATAAGTACTTTAAAAAACTGTCCACTTTAACTTAAAAAAAATTCTAGCGAGATTATACTGGAGACACAACTACCCTTGGTTTTAGTGAATAAAATGGCCTAGTACTGTGGAATTCTAATTTTAGGAAGTCTTAGCATCAGATCATAAACATTCATTAAAAGAACTCACATCCCATTTGAAACTTCCCAGGGGAGTTGGGATTCTTAGTAGATTGGTAGAAAGGGGCTCATTTTATACTGTATTTCCCATTTCTGGTATCTTGTTCAGCATTTTTTTATTGTTATTTTTTTGTCTGCAGAACATCCTATATTTATGACAACATTCTTTAAGAACACCATGTAGAACACCCCTTACTATCAGCTCGCTCTGATTTAGCCTTAATTTTGTTAAATTTTTTAGAGATGAATGAAGTGCTGCTGTGGAAAGAAATGTACATATACTATTTCTGTATCATTAAAAATTACATTTTTATGGTTTCTTTTCTTGGATTTCTTTGGGGGAAGGGTTTTGGGTTATGGGAAGGCTGGCATTGGGTTTCTACAACGCTTTGAGTGTTTGTGGTAAGATTTCTTTGAGAAAATGCTATACCTGGGCACATCTCTGTTTCTTGATCCAGCCTCTGCCACCATTACAATTGCTTTAGAAAACCTCACACACCCTGTTCTGGGAGATGTGCCAGTTATGACGCTGTGTGGCTTCTTGACCTAGCCTAGTATTTCCAACCTCTGATGCTTGTTAAAGCTAAGCTGCTCCAGCCCCCAAGCCACTCCAGCCAGAAGTTGTCCCCTGCTTCATTCCATCGTCTTTAAACATGAACCCAACGCTGTTGATTAAGGAGTAATGTGTCCCATTCTTTTTTCTTTTTTTGAGATGGAGTCTTGCTCTGTCACCCTGGCTGGAGTGCCGTGGTGCGATCTTGGCTCACTGCAACTTCCATTTCCTGGGTTCTAGCAATTCTCCTGCCTTAGCCTCCCGAGTAGCTGGACTTGCAGGCATACGCCACCACACCTGGCTAATTTTTTGTGTGTTTTTAGTAGAGAGAGAGTTTCACCATGTTGACCAGGCTGGTCTCGAACTTCTGACCCCAAGTGATCTGCTTGCTTGGGCCTCTGAAAGTGCTGAGATTACAAGTGTAAGTCACTACGTCCGACCAGTAGTGTGTCCCATTCTACCACAGCTGCCACAGAGGCAGTTCCATATTTCATTTTTCTGTAATAACCAGAGGAATGCCTGCATCATGTTCTGTGGACTGAAATTCCTACTTTGGTCTTTTAGGTAACAGATAAACCTTCCTTGGAAATTATTTGGAGTTTAAGTTTGTTTAAGTCACCTATTGTGCCAAGATAGGAAAGCTAGACTGGTCTGAGTTGGTAATACTGGTATTAACAATACACTGAAAAACATTTTTGTTTCAGAACCCCATGGGTGGGTGTACGTGCTGATATCCAAACAATGTCATTCTGACATCACTGATCTTCTTTGTCCGATTCAAGGGTAGGCACATGTTTTCATAGTCTCCACTCTGTGACACTCTTTGAGTCTGTTATTGTGACAGTGACAGCACATATGCTTGTGCCCATCTGCGGAGGACAGTTAAGTGAAAATGAGTCTTTGTCAGAAGAAAGCTGGCCTGGAGGAAGGAGGAGCCACTGACCCCCCTCCCACACACCCCTTTTCTTGACTTGCTGCGGCATGTTCTCCCTCATCATCACCTGAAGAATGTGTGTGCACTGCCTTTGAGCAGCCGTTCTCGATGCAATCCTGATTGCGTGTTGAATTCACACAGGGAGATTTTAAAGATGCCGACACCTGTGCACACCCCAGACCTATTGGAATGTCTGAAGATGGGGCCAGGCAGTTGGTCCTTGGCAAAGTTCTTTATCCGTTGTGCAGCCAGGACTGGGAACCAGTTGTCAGGAGGAATGGAGGTTTCTGAGGGAGATGGAATCAACTCGGCATTCCCTGGTGGAACAGTTTGCCTTGGAAAAAGACAAGAGGGTTCTGGATATGAACAAGCTCCTCAGGGGAAGTAGGAAATTTATATAAAGCTGCCAGCCCAATCCCTTGAGGAGGAACCTAGGGAATATATGGGGAATGTGTTCCAGAGGCAGGAGAGAGAATTTAGAAGTAGGATGAAAATTTCACTATTTGTGAAGAGGACTTAAAGACATCCTTAGAAGGGCACGATGAAGATGCTGTTCCTTTTGTTTCCGAAATATTTCAGAGATAAGCCTCAAATGTATAAAAAGAAAAGAGAACACTCATCAGGTGGATTAGGGGAGAAAGCAGGCAGGTGAGTTTTTGGGGCAGGGCTGTTTTCGGGTAAGCTTTCAAGCCTCTCTTTGCACTGAACTGTGGGTGGTCAGGTCTCTGCGGGCTGCCAGCTTCTGTAGACCGCTTTGAGTGCTGATTTTATTGGAGAGCAGGTAGTTTGTGAGGTCTAATTCAAGTAATTGGGTAAGTGAAGTCTGAAATGGGCATGTAAGAATAGTGTAATTCACCCAGCAGACAACCTCATCACCAAAGCTCGAAGGAAATTTGCAAGTTGCGCCCACTCTTTTGACTGTACCATTTTGCTAGGAGCTTATGAAAACCTTTAAATTCCGTGTATGAAATCACCTTACAAATAACACACAAATCTGTTTTAACACCCAATATGGCCTTTCCCAAAGTAAGTAGTTGGAAGTTACGCTAGGGTTTGAGGAGCTGGTGAGGAAGTTGACTGTTCCAGAGTTGACTTCCTGAGTCCCTCTTCTCAAGCCTTCCTCAGCTTTAGCCAACTTTGGAAGTGACCCCTCAGGCCTTGCCTTGCAGGTTCCATTTGGTGACAGGCAGGACTGCAGCAGCCTGTAATAAATGCAGTCAGGCTTCAGCCCTTCTCATTGGCTCCAGACAGGCAAGGCTGCTCCGGGTTGCTGCGTGGTGGGGTGATGGCATTGGAATATATTGTGTTTTAAACAGATGTGTGTTTTGCTGGGCCTGGCCATCTCTGCAAACTTTAGACTGTTTTGTTCCGATGTATTTCTAAATGGTGCCCTGTAGGTCGCCCGCTGGGGGTGGGATGGGCCACTGTGGGTTGGAAGGATTAAGTGTAGTATCAGGTATCTGTTCAGAGATACCTTCAAGAGGTCACCTTCTTGAAGAGGCCTTCACAGACCACATGAGCCAGAGGTGTGCTGGCCAATGTTTAACAGCCAGCTCTTGGGGGCTGAGGGGCAACCCCGTTTTGTAGCCTCTGCTGATTTGGTGGTATAAATGCTCCCACCACGGCCAATTGCAGGCTACCAAAATGATACCTTTGAAGGAACTAGGGAAGAGTTATATAGTAGAATTAATAAAAGTACATAGCATTTCCACCATACAGGTACGGTAGACATAAATACCTGTGCACAAACCACGAAGGCAAACTGCAGCCCATGAACCAAACCATCCCAGCACCTGATTTTGTGAATCACATTTGATTGGAATACAATCACGACCATTTATCTAAGTATGGGTTGGATATCCCTTATCTGAAATGTTTGGGACTAGAAGTGTTTCGGGTTTCTGATGTTTTTGGATTTGGGAATATTTGCAGTACTGAGTGAGCATCGCTAATCCAGAAATCTGAAATCCAAAACGCTCCAATAAGCATTTCCTTTGAGTGTCACATTGGTGCTCAAGATGTTTTGGATTTTGGAGGATTTCAGATGTTTGGATTAGGAAGCATTTCAGATTAGAGATGTTCAGTCTGTATTACCAATGCTTTTGCACTGTAATGGCTAAGGCAAATAGTTTTGCCCGAACCCTTAAGGCTGGCACAGTCATTAGATGGCCCTTCCCAGAAACAGTTTGCTTACCCTTGGCATAGAAAATGGTAAAATGTAAAATAAAAAGGAAGTAATGAGTTTTGAGTCTTTGTTACCTTTGTTTTAAATATAATTTCAGTGTAAGTTTATGCGACTTAACTTCAGTAATAGATATACTCAAGGACTGATGAGCAAAATTTCTGAAAATGTGACAGTAGGCTCTCACGAGCCGTGGGTGCCAGCTCCAATTTACTTCGCCATTATTCGAATGCACCGACTACAGGTAGTTATAGACTCCTGCATGCTTCATTTTCTCCACAGCACCGACCCCCTGGCCGCAGGGCTCCTTGCTCTAGAAGCAGGGTTTCCCCTGGTCCCTTCAGTTGTCTTCCTTACCACCTTGATCAGTGCCTGGCACAAACCTCCCGCCTCAGCCTCCTGAGTAGTTGGGACTGCAGGTGCAGGCTACCACGCCCAGGAAGCTTTCTGTGTTCTTGTAGAGAGGGGGCTCTCACTATGTTGTCCAGGCGGTACAGCCTTTTATTCGCAGAAGCCCCACTCTCTATTGCCAGTGTGATCAGAATTAGGTCACTGTCCACATGCCTGTTGAGCAAGCACAAGACGTCTCAGTCTCCAGTTCCTCACATAATGCTTTCTCTCAGAAGTGGAGACATCGTAGAACTCCCGTCCTCGGGCTTTTACGAACTTTGAATGAAACCAGGCACGAAAAGTGCTTATCACAGTGCCTGGCACCCATAGCCACCAGGGGCAGCAGCAGGAGCAGCATTAGTACTAACATCATAAAAGTGAACTTGAGAGACAGGTTGCAAGTCTAATCAGCGTCTCTTTCTGCCTCTGTCCACGATCCTATTTTAAGGCACACTCTTGAGTCTTAGACCGTTTTGTGAGATTTGAGATTTTTCTCAGGTATCTTGTCCTCCTGCGTGCAGCAGCGCCATCTTGTGGTCATTACGGGTTTTGGCGCTGTCCTAGATCTCAGCTCCTCAACTCGGAGCGGCAGCCAGACGCCAGGCTTGGGAGGCAGCTCGGACTTTTGAAAGCCAACGTGCAGTCGGGGCTGCGCACCACATTACACACTATATCCAAGAGGGTTTAAGTTTCCTGTGCGTCATTTCGGGACAGCTGCTTCATGTTGGCCATTTCTGTTCGTGGCTGTCCTCTTTCCTAATGCGCTCTGTCTCACCCTTTCTCTGCATCTGCCGCTCCCTCTAACTCGAGCTTTCAGGCACCTTCTATAAATGGGGTTTAAAACGAGCTAGCGCCATCTACTGGGCGAATGCCGTAAGGTCGGCTGTGAGGTCCCGGAATCTGCAAAGAAATGAATGAATTACAAATCTGTGGCTTTAAGGGGGGAAAGTAGGTACGTAATAGGATTCTGATGTCACCTCCCTTTATTGGCGATCCTTTCTCGGTGTAAGCCTTATATCGACTGTGCTAAGTACAGCTTATTTTGTCAGGATCCCAATATGAAAATCAACCGCACTGTCTTCAGTATTTCCCAAAGAGCGGTCTTTGTACTACCCTGCATCGGCGTCATCCTAGGGAGCTTTAAGAAGGCAGGTTCTGGCTGGGCGTGGTAGCTCTCGCCTGTAATTTCAGCACTTTGTGAGGCTGAGACGGGCGGGTCGCTTGAGGCCAGGAGTTTAAGACCAGCCTGGTGCAACACA